AGCAAGCATGTTTCATGACAATTTATTCGCTAACAAAACCTTTTTGGCTACGAAACATTGATGTTAAAAAAATTAAAAAGTTTTCATGTAATAAAGAGTTAAAGTTTGAATTAAAGTTCATACACAAATTGTGTCTTATGTAATGATGGTAGCCAAGGTTATTTTAGCAAATCCAAAAATAAGTTTACCCACAGAAATTAGGAATTTAGGCGTGATAAAACTTGAATATTGCCTAAACCGTGTGTGGGTTGAAACTTGTTAAAATTGTCAACGGATTTATTCAAGTGTCGTCCAATCGTATGTAGGACATGTGACCTATATAGTTCGTTTTTTGATCTAATTCGTTTTGAACATTTTTGCAAATTAATTCTTTTTTTTTTGTTTAATAAAACATTCTTATGGCCATAAATTAAACAATAGGTTTGATTGTTTGTTTGATTTTCGCCCGCAGTTTAGGCTTCGCCAGAAAATTTTCATGGGCCTAAACCAAAATTGCCTAAATGCCTAAACTATCGGCCACCATCACTAGTGTAAATATGGGAACCGCAATTAGCCCACAATTCAATTTTCATATGCCACAATTAATTGAGGAGTCATCTTTGATTTTGACCATTGAAATCACCAAACCAATTTGAGCTGTATGTATAATTGGAATCATAAGGGTATTTTTTCCTGTATAATGGCAACAGGTCTTTGTAGATTTGACATTGTAGTAGGATGATGTGAGGATCAACTTGAGAGTATCTTTGGTTTTTTCAAGATCAGTTTTCATCAGGAAATTTTTTTTGTTGTGGATTTACATAATTATTACACTATTTACATAAGTTTACAGCAGGCCCTGTAATATTATGCAAAAAATTATGCAATTGTTACATTGAGTGTAAATATTACATAATTTTTTATGTAAAAGTTGCAACTTTACATATTAAAATTTATGGATGTAATATTATGGGGGAATTTCCTAATGTTAGCAACTTGTTTATTGGACAAACATGAGGCCATTTTTGTAACAAATATTTCAAAGTGACTTCCTATCAATTGAATACTCTGCCTTGTAGATGACCTGTTTCTTTAACTTTTCCAATATTCTTTTGAGGTTGTTCATCAATTTCAGCAAAAAGAATATCACCTTTTTATATGAAATGAAGAGAGTGTAAATTAAGGTTTCTAGTCCAAACTGGTTTGGGCAATTTGGGCTTCTCGGCATTTTTATAAACATGAACATTAAAAAACTATACCAATCAACTTATTTTAACTTAAAGTAATTTTGCCCAATTTCAGCTAATAACAAAATAGTTTGGGCATATAAAAAAGTAATTTCAGATTTCAGCAAACATTTCAAATTTCAGCAGACATTTCAGATTTCACAATTCAGGGACCAAATTTCATTTTATGTGATTAGTCGGGGTGATTTACTAATCTCGATTAGGAAAATATTGAAAACAATATAAAATAATCGTGTAACAATTTTAATTCTGAGAATGCCGGTGTGTTACGTTACATTTCCCCAAATTTGTACTATTTTCAACACTGCCCGTGACATAATGTTCACCATTTTAATGTGAAAAAAATAAAAAACTTTAAAGGCTAAATTCGTCATATATTTATATATTTTTAACGAAAAAGGATTAAAAACGTAATTTGGAAATGTCTATTATTTACAGTTTAATAGCTCGTGGACCTATCATTTTGACAGAATTTACAAACTCAAAAGGAAACTTTACTCAAGGTATTTTTAATGTGATTTGTTTGGTTTGATTTAAAATACGCAACTATACTTATCTTTTCAATATACTACTTAATAGTTACTCAAGTAATCCTTGAGAAGATTCCTCCAAATGATTCCAAACTTACATATGTTTATGATAGGTAACATTTATATTATATACATATGTACATAATTAATTATTCCTAATTA